GAGAGAGAGAGAGAATGTTAATATTTATTTTTTAGTTTTTGGCAGACACAACATCTTTTTTGTATGTGGTGCTGAGGATCGAACCCGGGCCGCACGCATGCCAGGCGAGTGCGCTACCGCTTGAGCCACATCCCCAGCCCACTAATTCTTCTCTTTAAGCTAACTATTACAAATTCCTTTACCTATTTTCACATGGTGACTTCTACAGTTAGTCATCATTCCTATGAAGGTTTCCTTCTGTGTAACGCCCACTATAAAAATATGGAATAAGGAACTAACAACCTCAACTCAAATGTATTAGTGAGAGGCACAATACCCACCCTCTGATCTATGTGCCACACTCTGTACTAATATTGAGCCCTACCCACAATCCGACACTCATAAAACATGGACAGACTGCTGAGGACTCACAAAGATTAAAGATTAAAGATGATTGACCAACTGAGTCAATCACAAATTTAAATAACCTAAATAGAAAACAAAAGAGAATTTGAGCTGGTTATTACTTTAAAACACTGTAAAACTGAGGGCTATTAATGAACCAAGTTATGAGAATTATGCAATATTTTTCTAAATATCAATTTACATGGCTAATTCTCATCTGTGTGGGATTACATGACAGTGATTTTGCCTAAAGGAAAGGTAATAAACTATCTGAATTCAAGATAGTGAGAGAATTCTATTATTCTAATTTGTTAAATAAACTTGCATACAAAAAAAAATTTTGACACAGAGAGGAAAAGGGATATCAGCTACATGAGAAGTTAAGACAGGAGGATCCCAAGTTCAAAGCCAATTAGCAACACCCCTAAGCAAATTAGTGATACTGTGTCTCAAAATAAAAAATAAAAAAGGACTGGGGATGTAGCTCACCTGGACTTAACTTCCAGTATCCACCACCAACACAAAAAAAAGAAAGAAAAATAGGGAATCAGAAAGTCTCAGTAACTTGCCCAAAGTAAAAACTTTCATATACAGTGTGTACACACAAAAGCATACATACAACAGTTTTCAAAATACATTTTTAAGTGAAAAGAGCGAGGCACACAAGCATATAAATAATCTCACTTGTGTGAAAGGGAAGAAAAAGTGTACACTTGCATACTGATGACTGTGTAAGTGAATGACTCTAGCAGGACTGAGAACAGATTGGAGGGGGAGTATGAAAGATAGAAGATAGGAAGAAAAAAAGACATTTTTGTTTTATACCTTCTCTATAGTTGAATTCTTTAAATCACACAAATATCTCTATTCTGTAAGTAAAGTAATAGTTGCTATTGACCAGGATATGGGCAAACACTACAGGTAGAATATAAATGCTGGCATAACACATCTAACATCTACAAAACTATTTGATAAACAGGTATAAAAAAAAAATCTTAAAATACAGTCTTTGCCTCAGAAACAAATCATGCTTCCAGAAACTTTTCCAAAGGAAATAATCATACATTATTATGCTTGCAATGATGTCTGTACAAGAATGTTCATTTCAGTATTATTTATAATAGGGAAATGCTGAAGCAATCTAAAATGACAATTAAGAAAGAAATTGTTTTAAAAATATTTTTGTGCAAGCACACAATGGGAAATTACAAAGCCGTTAAAAATTGTAGAAATTACTGTATTTTAACCTGGAAAGATGTACCAGTAAGTAAGGGCGGTTAGCAAATTAATAAAGTAATTTAGGGCTGGGGATGTGGCTCAAGCGGTAGCGCGCTCGCCTGGCATGCGTGCGGCCCGGGTTCGATCCTCAGCACCACATACCAACAAAGATGTTATGTCCGCAGAGAAATAAAAAAATAAATATTAAAAATTCTCTCTCTCTCTCTCTCTCCTCTCTCACTCTCTCCTAAAAAAAATTAAAAAATAAAAATAAAGTAATTTAGACAAAGAAATAATTTAAGTATAATTATTTAGAAAACATGAATTCAGTTATAACTTAATAAGTATGTTTAATGTGTTTATCATTCAAAGTTTATGATACGCTCTTTAAAAAAAGTAAGAATACTATTAAGAAAAGAAGCAGAGGTTAATTTACAATCTAATGAAGAAAACTGTCTTGTATAGGACTTTTAGGTCAATAAGTCATCTTATATGAGAAATAATGACACACAACTCATGTAAACATGTGGARAAAAATGTTCCCATAAAATACTCATATAAACTTACCTCTTGCCTAGAAAGAGTCATGGGTAATTTTTCCTCTGCCAATTCAAGTTCTAATACTGGATTTGATGAAGTTAGTGGTTTCTGGTCCTCCTCTTTTGGCTGTATCTATATTAAGAGCCAAAAGAAATGAAATTTAGTTTTTAAAACACAGCTAATATTTATAATTCCATCACCTTAGCTATTCATGGACATTAAATAAGTTTCATACTGAAGGTTTTCTAAGTGTTTCTCTGAGGAAAGAAGTCATAATAAATGTACATGCCTTTAAGAGCTTATCAAACAAATCCATGTCAGGAACACAAGTAGAAAGCATGCACATGGGAGACAGCATTCTTAGTATAAAAAACTAACATAACCATAATGATTTGCAAAATCAAAACTCATGTTGCTGAAATTTACACTCTCCAAATTCTAAAAAAAAGTACTTTTTTCTTTATAACAATCAATTTGCTTCACCTTTGAGAAAAGTGTCCTACAGAGTTACCTGATTGTTGCTTAGCTTTAAAATGAAGACTAAAGAGAACTACTTTCCAATAGAAACTATGAAGCTTCAAGCTCTAGCTTTTTCCTATTTTGCCTTTTGAATGGTATTATTACAACTGCAGAGAAATCACTATTGGACATGTAGAAAAATTCCCAAGGTGATGCAGAACTGATCCACAAACTGAGCTAAATTCTTGTAGAAAAACAATGAAAAATGGCACTATTCTATACATGCCATCCAAGGAAAGAGTGACATTCTTGTTCATATGAACCTGAAGGGGAATGGGGTAGGAATCTCACATTTTTTTTCAAATATACTGCCCAAATCACTGAGAAAACTTATTTAASCAATTTAGAAGTCCCACTGTGTGGTCTGTTGAAACACGGTTTCCTATCTAACCAGAAGACAAATCTAAAACACTGAGTGTAGGAAAATCTAAAATACTGAAAGGGGGAGTAAGATTCAAAGGACCATAAAAGCAAATCAACATCAATTATTATTAATTATTAAGAAAGAAACTCAATTTTAAAAAGCTCTAATGGTAAAAAATTATGTAATAGCCAGGCACAGTGGCACACACATATAATCCCAGTGGCTTGGGAGGCTGAGACAGGAAGATTGCGAGTTCAAAGCCAGCCTCAGCAATGGTGAGGCACTAAGCAACTCAGTGAGACCCTGTCTCTAAATAAAATATAATACAGAGCTGGTGCTGGGGCTCAGTGATCAAAAGCCCCTGAGTTCAATCCCCAGTACCCCCCACAAAAATTTTTTTAAATTATGTAATAAATGATCTTGTAGTTTATGGCTAAAGGCTGGACTCATCCTAGTTGATACTGAGGTAAAAGACTAAACTTTCATATTTTCACAGGACAAATCAGGACCAAGCCTTAAAAAAATTGTAATTAGTTTCTATAAAGGGAAAAAAAGCAATGGATACTATATTGTCACTACTACAAGAAGGAGCTATTAAAAATATCTTCAAAAACAAAAACCTGTGATTTCTTCTTAAGCATATCAATAGGTGTTTTTCAAAACCCTCAGGACTAAAAGCATTTTAAATTATATAATGGCCATTTATAGCTCTGGGGAAAAGAGCTAAGACATTTTGTCAGCTAGACTCRAAGTTACAACTAATATCTTTACAGTATTTATTTCACTTCAGCGCTTGCTTTCTTCTACGTAAGCAAAAAAGCCCTCCCACAGCACTGAGAAAATCTATGCAAAGCAAAAACTGCCACTTTCTTAATTTTTTTCCTACCTTATCAAGAAGTTAAAAAAGTTCAAATTTAGAGATCTGGGAACTGAGAAATCATCTCTCTGAATTGGATACAATAATTATTTACACAGAACTTATCTTAATTTCCTAAACTAGAAGTAAATCAGTATCTTTATAGGAAATAATCAAGATGCAAATATAAGCTTTTACATGTAAAAAGCCTTTAAAAATACTAACTATATTTTTCTTTAATACGTGCCTTTCCAACCTTATAAAATAAAGCCAAATGCATATACATAACATTTGCATTCCTCATGCTTCCTTCTGGAAAGGCTATGCCTTATAAACTAATTTCTAGAACCTTCCCTATTACATGCACAAGAGTATTATTTTATATTGATGTTTCATGAGCAAAAAGTTGATTCAAATAGTATTTTGATAGAATCTCTTAACTGTTGAGTTAAAATTATTAAACAAGATATAGAGTTAAAAAAAAATAACTTAAACCCGATTTCTCCACCTCATAAGCATTAACCCCTCCCAATAAAACCCCCAGCACATTATCAACAGGTAATCTGAAAATAGTTTCAGTCTTGCTTCCAAAACATACAAATAAAGCCTTTCAGACAACTCATTTGTTTCTAAACAATATTTCAAAGTTACATTTTCTATTCAATAAACTAAACAGTATCTGAAATGTTATAACTTATTACAATAAAAGCATATACATATACATGGTGCTATATTTCAGGCAGAGTTACTAAGGGCCCAAAAGGAATTATTAACAATGCAAACATAATCAATGGCTGAAAATATGAAGGAGAAAGCAGGGGAAATGCCATTGCTAATATCACTGTTGCTGAAGGAATAAAATGAACTGGACTCTTCTGAGATACAGTTTTATTGGGAGAGGTGAGGGAGAGAAGTGGTGGTGGAGAGGAAAATAAGGCAGCATCAGATCCAGGACTTAATTTTTTAAAAAAGGTCAAGCTTTGATCTCAAGCCACTTCATGCTGTCCACAAAAAGCCAAACCATTCCAAGCCAAAAGTCATGCATATATTTTCCTAAATTCAAGAATTTTTTTTTTAAAAGCAAAACAAAAATAAAAACTCATACCTCTCCAGATGGCTTCTCACTTATAGGCTAATGTGTAACATTGATAAATTGAACAGAGATCAATAATTTTGTCATTTAACAATAGCTATATAMATTTAAACGCAGAAATTTACAATTTAATATAAAAGCTCACATTCATACCTTGTAGCCGCATCTTTCAAAATATGCCTCCTCCTCTTTTTTCACAAGTTCACTACGTCTGAAATATTTTTTATTTTCCTATCAAAGAAAAAAATAAGTTAATAATAAATCCTTGAGCAAAATTGCATATTCCACAGTTATCAAGTGCTTTTAGAAAACTTTTAAAAATATTCTTCAGTTGCTCAAGAATTTGAAAGTACTTTTTGGTTCTCAATATGATCACATTGAGTCCCTGAAACATGCTACCTCTCTGGATATTGATATGTGATGAATATTTAAATTTTTCTTGCATTGTCATTTTAATAAGTGTGTACAACAGCATAGAAATCAATAATATAATATTGCTAAAATATAATATAATATTTGCTAAATATTATTTGCAATAATATAATATTTGCTAAAATATTACAAAATATTTCCTAAGATAAATATAAATTCAAAGATAATGTATACAAATGGATTCATTATTAATCACAGAAAATGGTATGTCTTAATTATTTTCACTTAACAGAAACAAACACTAAATATGGCATATATATACCCAACTTCTAAAATCTCACTAACAAGAAGGTTCCAAGAGAATGTCTAAATTTTTTGATGCTAATAGATAAGCTCTAAATCTACTGTGGCTAAAAAGATATTAGTTCTTCATATATTCTATTGTGAAAACTTCAGCCTAATTTATAATCTTACTACTATCTGCACCTCTGCCTCCTGGATCTTTACTGCATTGATAACTTTGCTCAACTACAGATACTGTCCCATTTTATTAATAGTAATTATAACAGAATCTCAATAATACCTCTCCACATGTATTTAGCACCTCTAGTTTCAAAAGCTCATTCATTCAGGCAATTACCACCAGTAGATACTAAAACATTAGAAGGATATAATGGTGACAATGGAAAGATCAGGCTGCCAACACTTGAACCCACTGATCAAGTTTGGCATTTGTAAAAGATTATATACCTCTATGTGATACCACAAGAAGTACTCAGCACCATCTATCAAATATTCTTTACCCTTACTGTAGGAGTAGAGAAGTAAACAAAATGGTAACAACAGTAATTAATCAAACAAATCTAGGATGTGTACAAAATTAGTCCTCCTTTCTCCAACATGTCAATAGTGTTGGAGGGAGAGCAGCTGGAGGAATAAAAACATTCTCGATTAAAAGAAACCAAGAGTCACAATAAATGAATTCAATTAGATTTGTGTGGATCTCATTTGAACAAACCAATGGTTAAAAACATATATATGTATAATTTGACTGGGGATATATTAATATGAATTTGATACAGCTTAAGGAAACTATTTTAATTTTGTTAGATGTGATCATATTTTGGTGATATAAAAATATGTCTAATTTTTAGTTACAGGTACTAGGGGAAGGGTATACAAGTTCATTATACAATTCAATTTTTGTGAAAGTTTAAATAAAATAAAGTTTACAAGTTCATTCATTAACTCAATAAACACCAACACACTTACCTACCATACACCAAGCACACCCCCTTCAGACACAAAGATGAAGATGTTACTGTGGCAAAGAATTGATGACATCATCTAATTATCAAACTACCATGACAAAAATGTGAGCAAATGATATTAATCCCCTTTTAGAGATGAGAAAGTTGAGAATTAGGAAAGGTTGTAACATTTCAAGAACTTAATAGATCTGATGARTAACAGAGCCAGGACTAGAACTCTGGTCCTTAAATCCTTTGTACTTATCTAGTTTTCCTAGCTAATTAGTCCCTCTAAAAATTCAGTATTTTAGATTGTTCCTTTTAACTATGTAGTATGTAAATATTACATTCCAAATAGGTAAGCTGACAAACACCTATTAGCATCCTTTCAGGAAGAGTTGATATAGCTATATAAGAAATAAAAGGAATGCCAAGGCCAGAGCCCAAGTCCAATTATGTTACCTCTGACTACCATGTCTCCATTCCATTGAATACCCCTAACAAAAGCTTAAGACTAGAACGTCTCAAAATGTCATCCATAGACCCCTACCTGCTGCTTTTCAAAGATTCTTGCACTTTGTCCGAGTTGTACTTTCTAGATTATAAAACTAAAGATTCACAGGTCTAAAGTGCACACACCTTCCTACCACATCACCTGAAATGTCTGTCTTCACTAAACAAGGTTATCAAATGTCAAAAATAATATGCAAACAACATGAATTTAGAATTACCATCCCTCCAATTATGTTAAAATCATGTTTATATAAATGGATACAAATATTAACAAAAGCCCTGTAAAAGCCAGGTGCGGTGGTGCATACCTATAATCCCAGAGGCTTGGGAGGCTAAGGCAGGAGCCTCAGCAACTTAGCAAGGCCCTAAGCAACTCAGTGATACCCTGTCCCTAAATAAAATATAAAAAAGGGCTGAGGGGACTGGGGTTGTGGCTCAGTGGTGGAGCGCTCGCCTAGCATGTGTGAGGTCCTGGGTTCGATTCTCAGCACCTCATAAAAATAAAGGCATTGTGTTGTGTCCATCTACACCTAACAAATAAACTTTAAAAATAAAATAAAATTTAAAAATAGAGGTATTTTGTCCAACTACAACTAAAAAAAAAGGTGGGGGGGCTGAGGCTGTGGCTCAGCGGTTAAGTGCCCCTGGGTTCAATATCCTGTACCAAAAAAAAAAAAAAAACCCTCTGCAAAAAGGTAAAAGGCACTAGGATTTACAACTATAGAGCCTAATACCCAATTCAAAACAGTATGTGTGAGATCACAAACCATGAGGCAAGTCAACATCTCGTTAGCGTGAAACAAACCTTAAGAGTCTGAAGTAATACATCAAACAGGAGGGCATACAATTTAAAGAGACACAATGCTTTTCAAAGTGAAAGAATCAGAAAGTGTTAGAAAATCCTATAAGCCATGCAATGTATTTTTTCAGTGATGTCAGTGAAAAATCTTGAGAAAATAAAAAATAAAACAAGTTCAAGAAAAGAAGACAACCAAGCAGAGAACAAACCAAATGATTCTGCTTACATAAAATTCTAGAAAAATGTAATCTACCTGAAGTAACCAAAAGCAGGTCAGTGGCTGCCTGTGACAGAATGCAGGGAAAGACAAGGAGGAGGGATTATGAAGAGGCATAAGGAGACCTTTGGGTGAGATTGGTATGTTCACTCTCTTCATTCTGCAGACAGTTTTGCTGAACACAGGTCAAAACTCACCTGTACACTCTACATACAGTATGGGTTGAGGGTGTAACTCTGTGGTATAGGGCTTGCCTAGCATGCACAAGGACCTGGGTTGGACCTCCAGCATCCCATCCAAAACAAAAACAAAACCCAGGACATATAGTGTTTAGTATGCCAAAGCTTAAAAAATAAATAAAATTCCACAAATAAGAAGAATTATAAGAATGATGGGCAACAGTGAGAGAGGGGCTGAGGGAGGGTAAGAAAATGGAGAGAAGGGAGAGAATAACAACCAGTAGTGGTGGTGATATTATTTACATTATCTGACTTTAAGACTTATCAGGATGCTACAGTGATCACAGAGAGTGGCACAGGCATAAGGATCAGCAAACATGTCACTGGAAAAGAACACAGCACCCAGAATGAAGCCACACTTACACAACTGTCTGATTTTTGATAAAGATACCACAACTATACAAAGGGAAAAATACTTTCAGTAAATAGTGAACTGGATATCCATAAGAAAATCAGCAAACTACAACCCCTACTCTGCATAATACAAAAAAAAAACTGACTCGAATTTTTAGAAACTCCTAGTTTTTTTATAAAAGATAAACTATAAACTTTTAGAAGATGATATAAGGGGATAGTTTTACAATTTACTCTTTGAGTATTTGGAGGTGGAATGGTGGGAGTGTATCATTAGGTGTAAGTTTAATTCTCAAAAAACTGCCAAATGGTTTTCCAACTGGTTATATTATTTTAAATTCCCAGACAAGTCACAGAAAATGATAAGCCAACATATTGGAAAGCCTGGAGTGGTGGCATACATCTATAGTTCCAGAACTCTGGAAGCTGAGGTGCAAGGATCATTTAAGCCTAGGGGTTTGAGACCAGTCTGGGCAACAGAATAATACTACATTTCAAAAAGACCCAAACAAACCAACAAACAAACTGGCAAATTGAGATCTATCAAAACTAAAAGATTTTATGATCAAAAGATAGTTAGGGCCAGGCWCAGTAGAGCACAACTGTAATCCCAGCGGCTTGGGAGGCTGAGGCAGGAGGATCAAGAGTTCAAAGCCAGTCTCAGAAAAAGCAAGGTGCTGGGGCTGGAGATGTGGCTCAGCGGTAGCGCGCTCGCCTGGCATGCGTGCGGCCCGGGTTCGATCCTCAGCACCACATACCAACAAAGATGTTGTGTCYGCCGAGAACTAAAAAATAAATATTAAAAAAATTCTCTCTCTCTCTCTCTCTCTCTCTCTCTCTCCTCTCTCACTCTCTCTTAAAAAAAAAAAAAGAAAAGAAAAAGCAAGGTGCTAAACAACTCAGTGAAAACTTGTCTTAAAATTTAAAAAATACAAAATTAGGGCTGAAGATGTGGCTCAGTGATAGAGTGACCCTCAGTTCAATACCCAGTACCACCACCACCACCACCCCCAAAAAATAGTCTATTTACTCTGTTGACATCTGCACTGTAGGTGAAAAGCATGGTAAAGCTGGCCACAGCCTTAGAAATAATCAAGGCAGTGGCACAAAACTTTTGTATTTAGAGGGAGCCAGTTTTACTTCTGAATCTCCTTGATGAAGTACAAGTTGAACATCTCTTATTTAAATGCTTGAAAGTGTTTTGGATTTCAGATTTTTTTGAATTCTGGAATATTTGCACATACATAACAAGGTATCTTGGGGATGGAACCCAAATTTAAACACAAAATTCACATATGTTTTATACACACTTCACACATAAAACCTGAAGGTAATTTTATATGATGTTTTTAGTGTGCCTATGCTTTGAAAATTCCACTGAGGTCAAGTGTGGAATTTTCCTCTTGTGGCATAATGTCTGCGCTCAAAAAGTCTTGGATTCTGGAGGATTTCAGATTTAGGATTAAGAATGCTCAACCTACAGCAAAATTTTTAATTTTACTAGGCATTAATCCTTGACTTTTTTTTCCACATCCTGTATGACAAAACAAAGTATACAAAAATAATATTTCCTTTTTACCTAAGTATGATGGTTATCTGGTGGAAAAGCAATCAAACAATCAAGCTGTAAACTAAATCAGTGTTCTTCTTCTTAATACTATTTTGTCATACACAAATACTGACAAACCATAATTATCCAGACTTGAATATCTGTCAGACAACTTCCTAAAACTGAACACCATGAACCCATCACTTTAAGAAAAAAAACTAGTAGTATTTATTGGCTGTGATGAAATTCCAGCTTTCAAGCAAAAATTAAAAGTGTGGAGGACTTGGGCCTGCCATCATGAGCTTGACGGTTTCCTAGTGCTTAAAGAAACTACATTAGATCAGCAGATATTAAATAATACAACTTTAATGCTGTGTAATAAAATGTGTCAAGTTTCTCAATTTTACTTTTAAAATTTGGTAAATACTAATAGATATGATACATCAACAAAAGCTGGTGTCCTCAATAACTTAAGAGTAAGAAGAGGTCCTGAGACCAAAAGCTTTGAAAACTGGTGACCTAATTACTGTTATGCAATAAAGGAAAGGAGAACAATTTAAGGAGGTTCCTAAATTAGGTGTTCTTTCTCCTTTTTTTAGTACCTCTCCAAAAAAATCTTAGCTTTCCATTCCATGAAGAGCAGACCCATAAACTTTGTATGTGTTGGGGAAGAGGAAAGATGGGGAAACAAAAAGATTGAGTTTAATAGGAAGGAACGTTCGAAGATGGGATCTGAGACCGTCCTTCCTGTTTCAGCTGGGCACAAACCCTTAAACGACAGAAGTCAACTTTCGGAACTGAGGTAGATCCAGAGAGTATCCACAGATGGGAGTGGGTCAGAGCGGGTTGTTTACCTAAGTAAACTGCTAGGGGAAAGAAGGCAGGAAAAAAGGGGGAAAGTCGAAACAACAAAAACAACAACAAAAAAAACACCTTGAGTTTTCCTGCAATTCTCACACTTCCATCCATGAAGATTCCCCAGAAAGGGACCGAAGGATGGATCTAGAAAGGGCCTTCCGGGACAGAGGCAGGACTGTCGCCCAGCCCCATGTCTGCCCTAAATGCTCGCACCCCGGCATCCCCTGACACACAAATACACCATCTTCGACCCTCAGCCCCCACAACCACAAGGACCCTTACCACCAACAGGTTTCTCTCTTCCACCAGCTGCCGCTTCCGGGAAATCTCTGATCTCAAAATGTCCATCTCGCTGCACGGGGTTAAGCTCCAGATCCCCTCTCCACTCCCTGGGAGCTAACCTCAGACGGCCCGCCGCCGTACACTCACTACAAACAACCCAAACTACCGGAGGACAACAGACGGGATCTGCTTCCGGCGGAAGCTGGAACAAGAGAGAGGAGGRTAAAAGCGCCGGAGATGCTTGTTAGTGAAGCGGCTTTGGAACAGCGCCGCCTGGCGGCACCCTCCAGAAGCGCGCTCGCAATCCCCGCTGTGAAAATGGACTGAAAAACAAGCCTTCTGAAGAGTGAGGAGGTAGTAGGCCGCATCTTGTACGTTTGTACCTGCTAGTTAGGGCCAAAAGCCTACTAGAACACATCAGTTATGTTAAGATGCCATCTTTACTAGAAGTTCTTATTAGTGTTCCCCAAGTTACTGGCTTGCCAAGGTTAATGTACTAGATACGGAGTGAGAAAAACCTTAATAATACTAGCTTATGGGTGTTGAGTTAAAGGGTGGTTAAATGTCCTGTGGAGTTAGACATCTTCATCTAGAGTATTTCTCTACTCCCTCAACTCTACGTTGCATTAATAGCTTGATAATATTATTCAACATCTACCTTAAGCTAACAGATCATCTTTTTCTGTCATGCATTCAGCAATCAAGATTTTTTTTTTTTTTGTCTTTTTTTCCAACATTTTTACTGGCTCATTATAATACATAATGATGGGATTTTGTTGTTACATATTCGTATGTGCACACATTATAACAATATAATTTGGCCACTATCACTCCCCAGCCCTTTACCCCCTCCCTCAATACTATTATCCACTCCTGGTCTCTTTCCTCTACTGATCGCCCTTTGACTTTCATGTGATCTGCCCCCACCTTTTTTTTTTCCTTTTTCTTCTCTAGCTTTTGCACATGAGAGAAAACATATAATCCTTGACCTTCTGAGATAGACTTATTTCACTTACTATAATGGTCTCTAGTTCCATCCATTTTCCTGCAAATGACATGATTTTATTTTTCTTTATGATTGACTTAAACTCTATTGTGTAAATATACCACATTTTCTTTATTCATTCATCTATTCGTGGACATCTAGGCTGGTTCCATAGTTTGGATACTGTAAATTGTGCTACTTGGTATAAACGTGGGTAGGCATCAAATATGGAGGAGTGGTACAGTTGGGTCATATGATGGTTCCATACCTAGGCTTTTTATATTTATATATATAAGCATATATATTTATAAATATATAAAAGCATATATATATATATTAAAAGCATATATATATATATATATATGCTTTTATTTTATTTTATTTTATTTATTTATTTTTCATATGGTGCTGAGGATAGAACCCAGCGCCACGCATGAGCTAGATAAGGCTGTACCACTGAGCCACAACCCCAGCCCCATACCTAGTCTTTTGCGGAATCTTCATGCTGATTTCCATACTGTTTGTACTCATTTATGGTGCCACCAGCAGTGTAAAAGTGTTCTTTTCTCTCCACATTGTCTCCAGCATTTATTATTGCTTATATTCTTGATGATTGCCATTCAAACTGGAGTGAGATGAAATCTCAGTGTAGTTTTAATTTGCATTTCTCTAATTGTTAATAATGTTGAACTTTTTTTCCATATATTTGTTGTACATTTATATTTCTTCTTTAAGAAGTGCCTGTTTAATTAATTTCCCTATTTATTCATTAGGTTATTTGATTTTTTGGTGTAAAGTGTTTTGAGTTCTTTATATATTCTGAATATTAATTATCTGTCACAAGAGTTGCTAGCAAAGATTTTCTCTGATTCTTATAAATTCTCTTGTCACATTCCTAATTCCTTTGATATGCAGAAGCTTTTTACTTTGGTTAAATTAACCCTTTCATTAACTCTTGGCATTATTCCCTGAGTTTTAGGAATTTTACTGAAAAAGTTTTTGCCTGTGCCTATATTCTGGATTGTTAACCTAACGTTTGCTTCTAGAAGTGGCATAGTTTCTGGTCTAATTCCTAGGTGTTTGATCTATTTTAAGTTGATTTTTTGTGCAGGGTACATTAGGGTCTAGTTTCATTCTTCGATATAAGGCTAACTAGTGTTCCAAGCACCATTTATTAAAATGCTGTCTTTTAAAAAAATTTAAAAGGCTATCTTTTCTCCAAGGTATGCTTTTTGGAAACTTTCTTAAGGATTAGAACACTGTAGGTGTGTGGGCTTATCTCAGTGTCTTCTATTCTATACCATTGGGCTGGTCTGTTATGCCAGTACTATGCAGTTTTTGTTACTATAATTCTATAATATAATTTGAAGTCAGGTATTGTGATACCTCCAGCATTGCTTTTTGACTTAGATTTGCTTTGTCTATTCTGGGTCTTTTATTTTTCAAAATAAATTTTAGGACTTTTTTTTTTTGCTAGTTCTGTGAAGAATGACATTTGACATTTGTGTTTTGATAGGGACTGAATTAAATCTGTATATTGCTTTTGATAGTATTGCCATTTTAACAATATTAATTCTGCCTATGTATTAACACTGGAGGTAATTCCATCTTCTTGTGTCTTCTTCAATTTCTTTCTTCACTGTTTTCAGTTTTCATTGGAGAAGTCTTTCACCTCCTTAGTTAGATTTATTCATATATATATATATATATATATATATATATATATATATATAAAATCTTTTAGTTGTAGTTGGACACAGTACCTTTATTATATATATTTACTTTTATGTGGTGCTGAGGATTGAACCCAGCTCCTCACACATGCTAGGTAAGGGCTCTACCGCTGAGCCACAACCTCAGCCCCTCCTAGATATATTTTTTAGTTTATTGTGAATACAATTGTTTTCCTGATTTCTTTTTCAGCAGATTCACTATTGGTATATAGGAAAGATGCTGATTTTTGTATGCTGATTTTGTAACCTGATGCTTTGACAAATTTGTTTACTAGCTCTAGCAGTCTTTTGGTGGAGTTTTTTTGGATCTTCTAAGTATAGGATCATATCATCTGCAGACAGTGATAATTTGATTTCTTCCTTTTCTATTTTATTTACTCTGGCTAGAATTTCTAGCAGTATATTAAATAGGAGTGGTGAGAATGGACATCCTTGTCTTGTTAAAGGAATTGCTTTCATTTTCCCCCATTTACTATGAAGTTGGCTTTGGGTTTTTCATATATAGCTTTTATGATGTTAAAGTAGGTTCCTTCTATCCCCAGTTTCTTCAGTGCTTTTATCATGAATGGGTGCTGAATTTTGCCAAAGTATTCTCTGCATCTATTGAGATGACTAAGTGATTTTTGTCCTTAACTCTATTTATGTGGTCAGTTACATTTATTGATTTGCAAACGTTAAAACATTCTTGCATCTCTGGAATAAAACCAACTTGGTAAAGATGTACAATCTTCTTAATATGTTGTTGAATATGATTTATTAATATTTTGTTAAATATTTTTGCATCTAAGTTCATCAGGGATATTGGTCTTTAGTTCTCTTTCCTTGATGTGTCCTCATCTGGTTTTGTTATGAGTGTGATACTGGCTTCATAGGATGAATTTGGAAGTGTCCCATCCCTTTCCACTTCATGGAATAATTTGAGGAGTACTGGCAATAGTTCTTCTTTAAAGGTCTGGTAGAATTCAGCTAAGAATCCAACTGGCTCTGGGCTTTTCTTTATTGCAAGGATTTTTATTACTGCTTCTGTCTCATTATAAGTTATTGATCTGTGTAGATTTTCTGTGTCCTCTTGATTCAATTTTGGCAGATCATTGAAGAATTCCTAGACTCAAATGAGAATAGTGACACAACATACCAGAACCTCTGGAACACCATGAAGGCAGTTCTAAGAGTAATGTCTATAGCTATAAGTGCCTTCATAAAATCTGAATCCTCCATAAACAACCTAATAAGCATGTCGAAGCCCTTTAAAAGAGGAACAAAACCAGATGAGGACACATCAAGGCAGATCATGTCTCTAGAAATGTATGCATTTCTTCTAGGTTTTCCAGTTTATTGGAGAATAGGTTTTCAAAATAGTCCCTAATGATCTACTAGATTTCTGTGATGTCTGTAGTGATTTCTCCTTTTTCATCTCAATTTTATTAATTTGAGTCTTCTTTTGCTCTCGGTTAGTTTGGCTAAAGGATATTGTTCATCTTTTCAAAGAGACAGCTCATTGTTTCATTGACCCTTTGTATTATGTTTTTACTCTCAAGTTCATTGATTTCAGCTCTGATCTTCCTTCCTTCCTTTCTTCTACTGGTTTGCAAATGGTTTGATCCTCTTTTAAAGGGCTTCGACATACTTATTAGATTGTTTATGGAGGATTCAGATTTTATGTAGGCACTTACAGCTATAGACATTACTCTTAGAACTGCCTTCATGGTGTTCCAGAGGTTCTGGTATGTTGTGTCACTATTCTCATTTGAGTCTAGGAATTCTTCAATTTCTCCCTCAATTTACTTTCTCGTCCATTCATCACTCAGACGTGTATTGTTCAATCTCTGTAGTGTTTTATTGTGTTGATTTCTAATTTCCTTCCATTATTATCTGTAAGATACAAGGAATTATGTCAAATAAGATTTTCAATGACATGATCAGATATGTAGTCAGAAAAAAGTTAAATCCAATTCAAGAAGAAAAATTAAATTGGGGAGAAAAAAATACATGTCAGAGAATTTGTTTTCGTTTTTATTTTGAGGCAGAGTCTCACTATGTTGCCTAGACTGGTTTTGAACTCCTGAGCTCAAGCAGTTCTCCCACCTCAGCGTTCTGAGTGCTGAGACTGCAGTGTGTTGGACAGTTTTTTTAAAAACCTAAAAACCATTTATAATGCATTTATTTTTAGTTTTATGCCATGGAAGTGTTTCTTTTAATTTTTAGACCTGGCACAGTGGCACACACCTGTAATCCCAGTGATTTGGGAGGCTGAGGCGGGAGGATCTCAAGTTCAAAGCCAGCCTCAGCAACCCAGTGAGGCCCTAACCAACTCAGTGAGACCCTGTCTCAAAATAAAAATAAAAAAGGGCTGGGGCAAAAATTAAAAAGGGCTGGGTTTGTAGYTCAGTGGTTAAACCCCCTTGGGGTTCAATCCCCAGTAAAATAAAACTTTTTTAATTGTCACAATTGAACAATATTTGACAT